ACACACACACACACACACACACACACACACACACACACACACACACAGGAAGGACAAAGAAATACACCTCTTAAACAACTGACAAGTAACATCAATAAGATAACAAAATCTAAAAGGAATGTATTGTATTTGTTTACAAGTTGTGCAAGAAGAATCCTAGAAATGAACGTTTGGTGCTGCATAACAGTAGAACATGGTATGCGTGGCCAATCCACCACCATGCCGAGGGGTTAAACTAGAGAACAGGCCGCCGGTGCTCCTGCTGTGGTTTTTAGCAGGCACTAAAACATCAAATGTAGCTTGAGGTATTGTTAAGACAGTGCAAGACAAAAGAGGGCGACAAGAATCAACGATGACTTTGACACAAAACTAATAAGGCAGCGAGGGTCCCGGGGCTCCCTCAGGCAGATTCTGTCCCACGTCTGTTGCACAGACCACCAACAACTACTGACAACACACTCACGTGAGCGGAGCAAGTGCAATCAAAGGTAAAACACGGTCACTGAGCCATCGGGTCAGGAGACCGGTAATGTTTGCGTATGGCTGTGTACTACTGATGATGGCCTACACTGATCAGAGACCTCCGCTCCCCCTTCCTCCTGGACAAGGCACCCTGCTCCATCACACCCCCCAGTTAGGGAATGACATGGTTTCAGTCTGTAGACCTCCTGGAGTACCTGGGCACACTCCTCGCTGCTCCAGCGTCAACTCCGGTAGCTGTGTAGATGTCTCTATGTGCACGTGTTTCAATGTGTGTGTGTGTGTCTTTGATTGTGTGTGCGTGTGCTTGTGTGTTTAACAGTTGAGGCTGGGAGGTGAGATCACAGTTTGGGCGGGTTAGCGAGCTTAATCTTCAGGTTCTCTGCCAGCTTGTCCAGGAACTCGAAGGTGTTCAAGTAGTCAGCGCGTTTCACACTGCAAACAGAGACAAAGGAGAAAAGATTTAGAATACTTTAACGTTACTTTGGGAGGTGCAGAGTTTCATTTGTCCACGTAGCAGCACTGAAGAATGTCGCCTAAATCAAAAGAAGAACTCAGTGTGGACAAAGAACAAGAAGATGGTTATTACAGAGTTATTACAAACTCAACACCTCGCGCAGACATCTAGTGAGAAGAATTGACTGCGACACAGCAGCAGGAAGTGTTGTTGGGTTAATGTTCCCCTCCAGACATTGTAAAAATAAATTCTGAAAAGCAGCTGGAAGCATATTTACTCTTTCCCCCTTATTGAGTGTGAATATTCAAATATGCAAATCTCACAGGCCCCGGGCCAAGCATGTTTGACCCTGAGGAGTCTGTTGTGCACCAAAATTGGCGACTATGGTAAATTAAGTTGCCGTCTTTTACTTGTTTATCTTGTTTGTTAGCTTGTTTGCTTGTAACTGACAGTGGCTGACACAGCATTAGTGGTTGTAAAACACACAATAATCTCTCGTGGGATTTTTTGCTAGATAATTGGAGGAAGCTCCAGGGTCCTGTTAAGATCCAAAAACTGCAACGCTCCATGTTAGCTGTCAAGACTTTCACTATGCTAATGCTAACTCTCGCTCTCTGTTCTAGACATCTACAGCGGGGACGCATGACGCGGAAAAAAACACAGAATAAATTGAGTGCTAGATAACGAAGAGACTAACTTTGGCAGGCCTTTGATGCAGATAGCCAAATCCTTGGTCATGAAACCAGCCTCGATGGTCTCGACGCAAACGGCCTCCAGCCCCTCAGAGAACACTCGCAGCTCTGTGTTGTTGTCCAGCTTTGCCCGGTGGAGCAGGCCCTGCGTCCACGCAAAGATGGAGGCTGCAGCACACAAACACACAGAGAAGGGGAGAACACATTATATTACACACAACGCATGCGAGGTTATGTCTGGGTAAATGCTCATGTCCATGCATCGTGTTGTTTGTACCGATGGGATTGGTGGAGGTCTCCTTCCCTTGCTGGTGTTGTCTGTAGTGGCGAGTCACTGTGCCGTGGGCGGCCTCAGACTCCACTGTGCGTCCATCAGGACAGAGGAGCACACTGGTCATCATACCCAGGGAGCCGTAGCCTGAAACAGGGTCACACAAAAAGCACATTAACAACAGAACATCTTTGAACCAGAAAAGGCAAAAAAAAAAAAAAAAAAAAAAAAAAAAATCAGCTTTCTCCATTTTCTTTATTATGATTCAGTTTTGCAGGAGTTATAAGAAAGTTTCTACATTATGTATTCACATAACTGATGCGAGTGTCTTGTTTCTACCGACCTTGTGCCACGGAGTCGGACTGTACGTCTCCGTCGTAGTTCTTGCAGGCCCAAATGAAGCCTCCCTCAGATTTCATGGCCTGGGCCACCATGTCGTCTATCAGACGGTGCTCGTACCAGATGCCTTTGGCCTCAAACTTAGCACGGTATTCCCTGAACACACAAGAAGGTGGACAGTGCGTTAAAGTTGCGATCTCTGGTATAAAAGTGTGTGTACTTGTGAGAGAGAGAGAGAGAGAGAGAAAGTGTGCATGTGATTTAAAAGTCCTTACTTCTCGTAGATCTCCTGGAAGATGTCTTTGAAGCGACCGTCGTACTTCTTCAGGATGGTGTTCTTGGTGCTGAGGTAGAGAGCCCAGCCTTTGGTCAAAGCCATCTGGAAGGAGCTGTGGGCAAAGTCTGTGATGGAGCTGTCTGTGTTGTACATCCCCATCGCAACACCACCCGAGCCTGGACGGACACAAACGTACACATTAAGTATCGTACGGTCACATACAGTGGTTGGGTTTGAGTGATACAACAGGTGAATATGAACAGGATTGACGCATATAGATAAGCCGTATCTTATATTTCCTCATTTGCAATGTGAACACAATGCTAAATGTGCTGCCAGTCCAGCTTCGCTGTATTGACTGACACACCTTATGATGTCAGACATCTTTACGATATTCCCCACCTTACACTGATGCTCGTGTGTCTGCACACGGGTCTAGTATCTGCGATACTAAAAGTAAACTGTCCCAGTCGTTGCCTGAGCCACTTTCCCCCCACAGGGCTTGTATTAGTATCAGATCTTTCACATGTGGGGGGGTCGGGGGGGGGGGTCGGGAGCGTGACGGTGCAGCGGGCTGGATGTGTTCTTACCCTCAAACTCATGGATGACATATTTAACCGGCTCTCCGTTTGTGGGTGTGTAGGTCATCTCCACTTTCCCAGGCCCGGGCACCACAAAGTCTGTGGCTTTGTACTGTGGGGAGCACATTGAGAAACACGGAAGGTTAATACTGCTGCAACGTTGCCGTTTATCCCCACTTAACCGCACAGCCGTTACAGACAGCTTTAGGGAGGTCAAATGACAATGCCCGAGTCATAAACACCTTGGCAGGACTAGGCTGTCATCACCAGCAGAGTACCTCTGACATCCATGCGATACTATGTAACAAGCAGCCATTTGACCTTTCACCTGCATAACTCTCTGCAGAGAGGACTGTTGACTTTGGCACAGCGCTCACTCATGATTTAGTTGTGTGGCGTTGCTGCTACTTGTCCAGGCTGTAGAGGTGGTACATTACAGTCCAAAGCGCAGCCCATGAAATATAATTATTGCCAAGTCCCTCCTGACAACCCTACAATGTCTGATGGAACATTAACTCACCGAGCTCATACAAGAGTTAACCGCAATCCCAGCAGTCACAGCTAATTATGCTTCAGCAGCAGTTGTGGTTTTGTCAGACAATAACGGTTGTTGGCCTTTGCACATAGATAAAGACTGTCACACGAGTGCTGCACAGTTACCGTTGCTCCTTTCATCTGTAGTCCAGCAGTTGAATAGTATTTAAACTTAAAGCCATGAACCAATAGCGTACCTGATCTCCGTGGGCGTGTCTGCCGATGATGATGGGCTTGATCCAGCCGGGCACCAGGCGGGGGATGTTCTTGCAGAGGATGGCCTCCCTGAACACGGTGCCTCCCAGGATGTTACGGATGGTGCCGTTGGGCGACCGCCACATCTGCTTAAGCTTGAACTCCTCCACGCGGTTCTCATCCGGCGTGATGGTGGCACACTTGATGCCCACGCTGTAGCGGCGCACTGCCTCCGCCGCCTCGACCGTCACCCGGTCGTCTGTCGCGTCCCGGTTCTCCATGCCGAGGTCATAGCTTCGCAGGAGGAGACGGAGAGGTTAGAGTTTGGATTTAAAAGTACCGGAGAGAAAGCATCTGTGATGTCCTGAAAATGTGTTGAAATGTTCTAAACTAATATTCCTACGATACCAAAACAATACTGTTTTTCAATACTTAGTTTTAGCCTTATGAACATGTCTTAATTCTACAGACATGTTAATAAATAACATGTCTGACCTCCTGTTAGTAACATATTGTCAAAAGTTAGAAAAGCTGAAAATATCTGATCCAAAAGGTGAATAAACAAGCCTAACAACCTGTCACATATTCACTGGCAGCTCCTATTACTCGACACGTTTTGATACTAAATGCTACAGAGATATTTTAGTCAGTAGTCCAAAAGATTCATATTTGTGTGCCTTTAAGTACGAGGAGAAGCAGAGACGTAAAGAGAAGAAATGGACCAGACACGGAGACAGCAGAGGCACGGGTCGCCATAAACCAGAGCGCTCCGTTTCAAGAAGGACAGTGGTTATGTATGCTTCAGTTGCACAAACATCCTGGAGCACAACTAAGCACTGAAAGTGAACATATGCCACTGTTTTAGTTGGCTACAAGCTAATCTGTGAAGGTTACAGTACACTGGCTGCAATGTGCAACATAATCACCGTGTCAAAGGACATGAGCGACATTAATAATAACTCAACCAGGGCTTTATTCCCTCCACATCTCCGCTAATTTCAATTTCATGGAAGACCTGACAGTGTTTGCATCAAGAACAGCCATTAGCCTCCTGCCCCACTTCTCTCACAGTACTGTGCTCTTTACAGGCCGGGTACTCGCATAAGAGAGAAGGAGATCTGCAAAACCAGCCAGCAACACAAAGACAAAGGAAACAAGGAATCGATTGTGCAATGAAGACTGACCCGCTGCCGAGATAACTGGGAAAGTTGCTCCACTCGTGCACACACTTGTGCAAAAAGAACCTAACAAACCAGTAAGATGAGGAAGTATACAGCTAGATCGAGCTCGGTGCTTATCACTCCCTTCAAGTATGAGCTGTCTCTGAAACCCGTTTGCATTGTTTGAAAGCAGCCGTGACCTTTCACCCACTTTCTTCCTTCCCTTCCCCACAGCACCAAGCCATAACAAGATGAAACTCTACAAGAACATACCGCTGCGAGAAGAGAGACAGAAACACAAAACTTTAACAAGTACGTTGTCCCGGTTTGTTCTTAAGCAATTGATTTTGTACGTCTGTTCAACCTCCAACACTTAAAAAACCTGAACATGCCTTTAACTGAATGCACATGCATGTTTACCTTCTTTATATCTGCTATCAACCTCCCTACAAGTGGTTTTAAAGTTAAAAATGAGATTTATAAATTTGACAAAATGTCCTGATGAGGTCTCAATGCCGATTGGTTATAGTTTGTTTTTCCAGTGGCCTGAATCCTGACAGTCCTGCTTTTTGAGATATGTTCATACAAACAGAGGATTTATTACACCATATTAAATCAAAGGAGTGCTTCCAAAGCCTGCTGCACAATAAATCATTAACTTTTTATGATGCCGGCTACCTCTCCCCACTGAAGCCTGAAGATGTGATACGTTATGAGGGATGGGGGGGACATAGGGACTTGAACTTCACATAAAAAAGGTCATGCAGAGTTATCTTGTGATTCACAGGAACATGAGAGCAGCTAAGAGACAAAGTGGAGCTCCAGTGCCCTGGGTGCCCTGTGGTCGTCACACTGAGGCGTACTCACCTGTGCAGGTCGAGCTCCAGATACGGGAAGATGAGTTTCTCCTTAATGAGCTCCCAGATGACTCGAGTCATCTCATCTCCCTGCATCTCCACCACAGAGCCTGACTTGATCTTCTGAGACATGTTTGAGTCCTACGACACACAGGGGACGAACACACAGACATTTAGGATGATGACGGAGGACGGCAGCAGAGAAGAGAGACAGAAAGAGAGGAGGGTGAAGGACAGAACACGTCAGACGCAATCTCTGACGTGTTCTGTCCCTGACCCATCTCTCTCAGGGATTTTATCAAGCTAAAATAACGAAGATAAATACTTTTGTTTGCATCATATAGTAAATTGTTAAAAGATTGCACAAAAAACAAGTAACCGGACAATCAATCATTTAAAAAAGCACATCTGTGGTTGTTCCTCTCTACATAACACTGTAGACTCAATGAATGAATTCATTCAAAGCATCCACTAGGAGTAGTCAGACCAGTACCCCACCTGATACACTCCATAATCCTCTTAAACATGGGCCAAACAAAAACCCTGCAGCATAAGCCTAACCAATGCCAACACACGTATTAATAGCCATTAATAGAATAACTTAAAGTGCCCTTCATCTTATTCTATTATTGACTTAAATGTTCATCCTCGTTTCTCTGTGAAAATCTTTATGGACGGTCAGTTGATTGCTGGTATTTTATGGCAGTTTCAAAGTTGTACAACTTGCAGATCTCTTATCTTCTTGTGGTGAAGTTACATAAAGTTGCATAAAGCAGAAACAGGCAGGCGGATCGTCGCATGATGGGGAGGGGACTGCTGAACAGCCAGAGGCAGTCCGTTAGCAGGTCAGACGAGGAATGCAACCCGTCAACACAGCGTATAACGTGCAGGTTTTTACAAACATAGGCCTGTCAATAAATACCACGAACACAGGAAGGAGTTTTCTAAGACTATGGGCCTTATTGACCACCGTATAGCACGACTGTGGCTAACTAGTGTATCGAGGCAGTGAGATAAGAGTCGAACAGCACATTACATTTCCCTGTCACGTTACGTCGCCACCACTTCATTCTGCGGTTTGCTACAATGTATCGATATGTTGCAGACGCGTTACCTCGTTCGGTTTAAAGGTCCAGGGCACAGTCAGAGACGGGTAGAGGAGGCGGAATGATGCCCGAATGAGAGGGGAAAGTGGTGAATGCTGGCAGAGGTGCGGCAGGTACCCGGATCCCGACCTCACAAGATATTGGCCAATCAGAGAAGAGCGGAAAAAAAACGAACCACCAATCAGACAAGCCCACCAAGCCGGAGGGGCGTGATTTGTCTGGGCGGAGTCTGCAAATGTGGCTCACTGATTGGTCCGAGATACATAGCGCTATTCCGCCACACAGACTGGAGATTCATTGATTCTGAGTGATTACTTAAAAATGGATTTTGTGTAATCCCCTTTCCACACTCTTACATGACCCTTTATTAAATGGGTTATTTAATTTTAATCTGTATGTATTTTGTATTACTACAAAATCTAATTATTGTCAAGTAAAATATGTCTGATTAAGATAATATAATATAACGATAAGATATAAGCTTTATTTACTAAGTGTATATACTAGAATTAGAGATCAACAACATCATTTGTCAACCTTAATATTCACTTGATATTTCACTTGAAAAGCATTACTATTTCATCAGTATTTACTGCACTTTCTGCAGGGAATACAAAACATAATGTGTTTATTTATCTATTTATCTGGTATTTCAGTGTACAGAGTTATCTATATCATGGTTCATTACCAGTCATGTCTTCCATTCCTTCTCATGAGGCTACATTGGGGAATGTTTTGAGTGGTTATTAGTGATTCTTGAGTAGACAGTGAATGATGTGGAGACCACTTATTAAAGGCCTCTCTGATACGTGGCCATATTAACTTGTCATGGGGCGGTAGGGAAAATATTTGCTGTGAGGCTCTCTTTATCCCCCACCAGAAACGGGGATGGGCGTTTTGTCAATATCAATGGGATAGTGACAGTCCTCAGTCACCAACAAACTAAACTCACAAAAGTAGTGAGATCTAAGGGGAGGATTTTATCCTTCAATAAAAAAAAAGAGAAAATGGTTTTTATTTGTTGCTATTTGGATACTAGGAGTAACAGATTCTCTCCTTAGAGCTGATGAAGAACTGAAACTATATGATGATGATGACCCCTAGAGCCACTATGGAAGAGTGCAGTCTTATTACTTTTCATTTATTTATCTATTTTTCCCTTTAATTTAGTTTATTACATTTTTTTGTTTTTGTTAGATGCCTGAAATAAGGTCTGTGGTTAACACTTCAAGAGATGTTAACGTGTTGTTCTACAATACAGAGAATGTCAGTATATACACTTCTCTTGAATTTCAAAGCTTTGAAGTGTCTTTAAAAAGACAGTTTCTCACTAAGTGGCTAAATGAGAATACCAAACATCCTCACACTTACTAGCCTACCTTTACGGCTCATCATCAACACTCACTCACCTGACTGTGGTGTATTTTGTTGTAAAAAAAAAAAAAAGGTGTTCATTGTGAGAATTATCTTGTTTAACAAAACCTGTAAGCTTCAGAAACAAATGTTTGCCACAGAGCTTATTTTCTGAAATAACCCCAAATCCAATTAAAAATTCCCCATTGGCATCAGAAATGGACCAACCAGAAAAAGGGTGCCCCCTGCAGGTGGTACGGTAAACGTCCGCGTTCTTCGAGGAGGGCCTTCACGTCAGAGGGAAGCCAGGTGAAATTGGCTTCCATTGATTAGTAACTTCATTAAGTTAACATTACGGACAGTCACTGAAATGATACGAGTCCACTGGAGAGTGGATTTCTGAAATTCTGGTTGGAAAGCAGCTGCTTAAAAACGAGTGAAACAGAAACTGAACTGGGCCTGGTTGGACGGGGATGGAGAACCAACGTGTAGTGGGAAATATGTGGTGGTTGTTGGACACTATGAAGAACAGTGGACTTCAAAAAGTGAGTCAAACACTTCCCCTCTTCTCTCTGATGTGCGCAGTTGTTTGTTGCTGTGTTGCTTCTAATGTGCAAGAATGAATGTGCCTTTATTGGCTGAATGTGACTTATGTGAGTTGTATCATAGTCTGGGACAGGTTACACACACACACACACACACACACACACACACACACACACATATGCTTTAATATTGGATTTGTTGGTTCTTTGGTTTGGTTTTAAGTTGTGCTGTGAGTGATTATCCATACGTTGATAGAAAATACTCTATGTAGTCTTACTGTTGTATCCCATGGGGGTGTGTATTAGATCTGTTCTCTTCAATATTGCATTTGAGTTTTTATAAAGATGGATGAATAGATAAGAGACATGTGGAAGATGTTTTGATGTGAACATAAATGTGTTGTCTGAGTGCCTTCCTAAGTGGAAAAGAAAAGCAAATAGCCTGTGTGGTTTTAAATGTATGACGTTAAAACCTAAAAACATCAACTTTGTTCGTACCAGCAAGGATAACCTTCGTGTGACACACTGGGCCTCTTAAGAGGGGGATGCCTGTCTAATCATTGGTCTGACCTGTTATGCACAATTGTCTGTTTTTTATTTTTATTATTCAAATGCATATTCTATAGTGAATAAATAATCAATTACTTCTGCTCTGTGCCAAGTTCACATTAGTGTGGTGCAGACAGAGGCTGGAAACTGCAGCTTCATTACATGTTGATAGACCCAGAGACTACCATGAACTCCTTTACACTATATGGCCCCATGTTTTTTGGTATGTCAGTTAAATGCAAGTTTACAGGACCACACATTGAGCTAGTTATGGACTCAAGGTCTGGGCCCCTGGGGCAGTTTCCTATTTTGCAAAGTTGGTAAACCTTGCTCTCAGGGTTCCCATTAAAATGTTATATTATTCTGTATTTCACTCAGTAAGTCACGAGTGCAGTTTTTTACCCCTTAGTTTAACTACAATGCCACGGAGCAGTTTTGAGATGTTTTCAACAAAACTGACACTAAAACGTCCTCTGCTGTGCTTTCTTGAGGGGAAACCTTCACTTATTCTTCCTCTTAAAGTCTGCACATGGTCTCGTAGTGATTCCTGAATGTAATGCTGTAATGTAGCGCTGGGCGATATGGAGAAAATCAAATATCACAATATTTTTGACCAAATATCAATGTCGATATTGCAACGATATTGTGGTTGACCATTAGTGCTTTTACAAAATATTTACACCATGACAATCAATAATGTAGATATAATGACAAGTGGGTACAGACAAATAATAAAACAGCTTTTTTTTCACCACAGTCCTGATACAAACAATATTTATTTGTGTTTTTATTCAAGACATAATACTATTTCAACTTATACTATGAGATAGTCCTACTCTTCGTATCTAAGTTTTATATTTCTCCTATTTCTTCTCCAGGTGGGGAAAAAGGAACACGAGTTGCGCTGCGTCACCAGCAGATGGCAGAATCTCACTGCGCAATAAGAACCGAACGCCTTCCTGATATCTCCAACTGCTTGAGGCCATGTGGTCCTGAGGAGAGGCGATGAGCTAGCGGAGGAGTCGATCATGTTACGGTCCTCCTAGGAAATCTTAAAACCAATTCCTCATTCTCACATAGTTCATTCCACATGCATGTATAACTCCGGGAATTTGAACGGGCACTGCAACATGCAGTAAAGTGGGATTCTTGTGTTTTACTCTATGAAGCCGTGACTTCAAAAGACGCTGCACGGTCTTTGCTTTGTGAAAACTGCGGACTTTATTTATTCGATCTACTTTTTCTTTCACCCGGAGATGTCCACATCAGGGGGAAATGCCACTGGCTTCCAAAACACCGTCTCTTTGTTGTCTCCCAGCTCCACTTTGAAACGGGACCAGAGCTTGGCAAGACCTGGGAGGCGTCACGTGACTCTGCATCTGCTCTCAGTTGTGGCACGATAACCACGGAAGAGAGAGAGAGAGAGAGAGAGAGAGAGAGAGAGAGAGAGAGTCGAGGAGGAGCTTGCAGCGATAAGATTCACTCCACGCGCCATCAGCACCAAAAACTTACAGTCTACCCATCCATCCTCACAGCTCTCTCCAGCGCACTTGCTTTCTGCGAGCGCACACTGGCGTTTTAATTATTATAATTTTTTTCTCCAACCGTCGGAAGGTGCACAGGGGCATCCCCACGGTTAATACTCGCTCTCCGCTTGGTTGATTATGGTCACAACCCCCGCGGTGCCAAGGTGGAGTCACCGCGCGTATCTCGGATCGGTGCGCTTCTCCAGGGGCTGGGATGCGCACCGGGCACCTCTCGCTTCCTGCCTAGTTTCGGGTCTGCGCAGGAGTCAAGCGCGGCCCCGGGGCGCCGAGGCAGGAGGACCCAGTCCACCCGGAGCAGAATGCCGGTGATGAGAGGGCTGCTGGCCCCGCAAAACACCTTCCTGGACACCATCGCCACCCGCTTCGATGGCACCCGTGAGTAACAAACGGGAGCCCTCCCGTGATCCTCACTACACACAGTTCAGATATCTACTTCATGTATATACATGAGAGAAGGGTACAAACTGTATGGGAGCTGCATGCAGGAATATTCTGATGCAAGTTTAAGTTACAAAGATTTTCACCCTGCCTAATAAGGACACATGTTCTTAGAAGATATAGTGTGCACCTGTCTGAGCTAGATGGGCTACATACAAAGAAGCACAAATAAACAGTGTTCAGTAAGTTCCACAAATGCATCATATTGGGCTTTCACAAACAGCATTCTTGGTCTTGTGCTGGATCGCAGTGACTTCCGAATGTTTTCTAATAGAAGCATGCAATCAAAGGCGTTGAGAGACTTTGCCAGCTGTGATTTTTGCCTACTGTTGTAGTTTTTATGATCAGAGACTTCCTCCAGTTCCTTTGTGCACCACTGTGGCCATTGTGTCCATTTTGCACACATGTCCAGGCTTCACTCTGTATCTTCTCTTTTATTCCACCAGTCTCACCAGAAAGGTTGCAGATCAAACTCAAAGCTTTTGTGCCTCACTTCCCCTGAGATGAGTCTGTTGTATTCTGAGCTCCATCATAACACACTTTATAGCAGCTGAAATGATGCTGGAGAGAGAGAGAGATGATATATAGAGATTTCTTTCTTTTTCTTTGGCAAGGGTGTCTTGTGAACAGATGCGATGAGCAGCCCGTGTGTGTTTGGGCCCATGCTGGGTAGGTGGGCGGGTGAGAGATGCTTATATCGCGCTTGGTATCGTCTGCACTGATTATTCAGGGCGATGGGAGTCTGTGAGTGGGGCGAGCCAGTGTCTCCCCAAAACCAGTTAAGCCTGGCAGCATGATGGAAAAGATTAGTCGACCGTGCATCATGCGTGTCTCCTTAAGGCAGATCCCGATCTCACTCAAGGTTTTTTTTCCAAGTCCTCTCCTCTACTAACTACACTGACAAAACACAGAGGCAATGGTGCCTCTCACTTTTGTCCACAGGACATCTAAATGCTCCGACTTTGATATGCAAAGTGAGTTGTTGTTGCTGCTGGATCTGCTGTTAGGGTAAAAAGAAAGTAATAGCTTCTCTGTGCTGTATATCCTTAATTCTCACACTCATGTCTCCGCAGTTATTAAGTGCCATATGACAAAGAGGCTACAAATAATTCAGGTCTACACTATAATCCTATAGTCTGCATTCATCCACCCCCTGCATTCATGCCCCCCCCCCCCATACTATGCTCGCACACAAATACAGTAGGATGGAAATGATCATGTTTTGTAGATCCTCTTCATGTCTAGAAGTGGTCCGAGCCTAGCTATTTTTCTTTCACTGGCTAAAACAAAGGCCTTCCATTTGCCGAGGTGCTGATAATTACACTTCTCCAGCAGTACATGTGCAGTCATTGTAATTAACTCGCGTGTGTGTCAAGAATTCATCGTGGCCTTTCTGCTTGTCGTCGGAGGAGGAGGAGGAGGGGGGTGTGTGGGTGAAATGAGAGGTTGTGGGGGTGGGGAGGGCGGGAGTGTGTGTGCATGATGGAAGAATGTGGTGGAGCTGCTCTGGTGGGAGGAGGGGGGATTTGGGATGTCTATGTATGAAGCTGCTACGGGTCTAGTTGTGACAAACATGCAGCTATGTGGGCTTTTTTTCATTGTTAAATGGTGAGATATTCGTATATCGCATTAAATGAGACACTTGAGGGAGAATGGAGGCCAGTTATGTGTCTGTCTGTGGAGGTGATGGAAGCTTTGTTTCTCTGTGTGTGTGTGTGTGTGTGTGTGTGTGTGTGTGTGTGTGTGTGTGTGTGTGTGTGTGGGGAGGGGTCAAATGGCAGTCATGATTACTTTAAAAAGCCACTCATCTCTGCCAGATGCCGTACCTAGAAGCACTTCATCTTCTCTTAGTCGCTTTGGTACGGAGTCGGATCAGTCTCGATATCAATGAACGCACACAGGATTCACAAATGTGTTTTATATATAAATGCGGATAAAAATAATAAGAAAGCCAGATTCACAAACATATTTATTTTCATCTGATGCATACACGAATACTTTTTGGTTTTGAATACGAGTAATAGAAATCCACAAATGTATGCATTTAAAATTATTTAAAATTTTCATCAAAAACATTGTTGAACCTGCATTTACAAACTGCTTGCCATGTGTTTTGTTTTGTTAGACTCCCCTGACGTCGTTCGATGCACAAATGCAGAATGATCTGTAGCCAATCGGATGTTTCCTTCATTTTCAAACAAGCACATGAGCACAAGCACATCTGCTTCCACGTGTCACCAATAACTTTTTACACTGTTTTCAAACACAACACCTAATTAGCGAAGGCGGGAAGTGTGCACACCCAACCCTCGTTAGCTTCAGGTGCAAGGACAACATCAACGTCATACGGTGGAAAAAGAGACTGCGCAGTGAAGTCTTACGGCTCCAACAAGGTCTTTGATCAGCTGATGGAGACCTTGCTGATATACTGAAGGACTGTTTGAAATGCACAAGTTCCTCAGCATTTATCCAATCAATTAGTCTATCAACAGCTGATAACGCTGTTTAGTTTCCCAGCGTTGTGGTGGCAGCGTAGCACCCACCCTCCGTTTCCCTCCCAGGTTAACGCTGTTAGCTTCGTCAGCACTGTTTGCGCTGTTGGCTGCGAGCAGCCAGCTCAGCCGTCGCCATGTTGAGAGCCGCGTGGAGGCGACAGATGTGCTGCCAATCGAGCACCTTTGAGTATTGACGTTAAGCGCTGCATCACGTCGCAGTTTTAACGTCACAGCTTCTGAATCATACACTTGGAGAACGGTTATTATTTATAGACCGGTCTCATGACGAACGCTGTAGCCAACACCTCTTAGAACAGCAGGAGAAAAAGAACACACACACACGCACGCACACTTTGTAAATGGAAGAGTTGTTAGTCGACCGAGCACCCTGCTAATTTCTGTTCATTTTGCAATCAGTGAATTCATGCAGAGGTCTCATTAGAATCATTATTTTATACTTGCTAATATGTGAAAATTACAGTCTGGAGGAAACTGAGGAAACAATGAGTCATCTGAAGACTTCATGCACAGTTCAATCAATGCTCATTTGCCGCTGTGCTTCCTAAAAAAGGCAACAGCTGTGTGGGACTAAACGAGTCAATTGGACCTATTAATTGAGTGGGTCTTGGCTTGGTCCTAATCAGGTTAGGGCCTGAGCTCTGCACATCAAGTGGACATGTCTGGACCAGCACTCTGCACAAGCTGCCACCAGCCTGCTAGCACCCACTGCTACTCTCAGCCTTCATTTTTAATCCGAAAGGAGATTTGGCTGTATGGCAAAAGGCCAACAAAATGACAATAAACCTCCTAATTGTAGCGTCATCGTAGAAGGCGTAGCCCAACCTTTGCTGATCAAGAAAGAAAATGCTTTTACGGAGAGCGTGTACAATATCAAATTTTCCATGAGCCCCTTATTTATCTGACACAGCCTGGTGTCAGACTGTCTCTTCCCCGTTACTCTGTTACACCTACACTGTTTTAAGAATAGAATAGAATTAAATCTGCTGGGAAACTGATGTCTTTACGTCTCACATTGCCAATTTTGCACAAATGTCCGGGATTTATAGAGAGATCCTACAGTTGAACGTGTTACCTGGACTGATGTATGGATTATATGTTAAGAAAAGCAGATAAACCCATATACTGTATCTTACAAGAATAGAGATTGGACTATTGCACCATTTTTACATTAAAGATCTTTCACTTCCATCTTCCCAGCCTCATCACACATAATACTCACTTCGCCACAAAGCCCATTTGCTCCAGTCTCGGATAAGTTTATTCTGTCTCTCTGTAAGAGCTGAGAGAACTTAAACGATCTTACTTCCCTCATCCCTCACTGCTGCGTCCCTCCTTCAGTCTTCCATTAGTCTGTTCCCACCTCATGATATTCACCTGATTATGTGCAAGTGAGAAAACAAGTGTACACGGCTCTGGGCTGCAGGGAGACAGACTGTCACCACTGAGTGTGTGCATCTGTGCCTGTGTGTGTGTTTGACAGCACAGATTAGCATTGGAGCATTGTCGTGTCTCAGGTGTGTGTTTCCCCCGTGGTGCTTTGTGCATAAACCCCCCCTCGGCTTCTGCAGGCAGGAACCGATATAATGATGGGCTTCATAATGGCTCGGCCCGGCTCTGTCACTTTATGCCAAGCCACCGATTTTAAAAAAAGGTTAGGAGTTAACCATGCTACCGGCCTGCTGCGACGCTTTGAAGTAAACGGTTGTGTCAGCATGGCCACACGTTCACAGGGACGATGTTAATGTTTAGCAGGTCCGTCTTCACTTACTTTCAGCTTACTTTTGCGTGATGCTAACATTTGCTAATTAGCACTAAGCTAAAGCACAGCTTGGTATCCATGTTGATACTGACGTTTTATTTAGTTCAAAGCATCGCAGCGAGCCGCTAGCATGGTTGACTCTTAACCTTTTTAATCGGCGGCTTGGCATAAAGTGACAGAGCCGGGCCGAGCCATCATTATATCTGTTCCTGCCTGCAGAAGCCGGGGGGGGGGGGTCTGTACAAAACTCCATCCAGTACAGTAGATGTGGAGATATTTCAATCTAGAGACACATCACACAGATCAGAAAGTCTTAACTTAATGGTGGCACAAGAGGGAAAGTCAGAGAAGATTTCATGGCAATCTGTCAAAAATGTGTCTGTGTTTCAGCACAGACCAAAGTGGTGGACGGACCAACGGGCTGACACTTGATTTTGAAAAAGGAGAGCAACGATTTTGATCCCCAGCTACTTTTATTGACTATGAATCAGGGCTACAGTTGCACAGATGAGGGAGAGAGGAGGAAGGTAGGTAGCAATAAGGGTTTGTAGGTAATGAGGGAAGTAATAAAAGCTGTGTGGTGCATTCAAGGCACGGGCAGATGTGATCAAAATGGGAATAAGACTGAAGGCAGAGAGACAGACAGATCAGGGTTTAAGTAG